TGCTACTGCAAAATGTAGAGTTGATGTAAGTTGTTTATAAGCACAAAAGATCAAGGATAATCATTTAGGATAGATTGGAACCGAACTGAGCTATCCACTATATAATTGAGATTCAGTTTGGTTAAGGTTTGGCATGGTTAGACAGAGTTAAGAATCAAATTAGATGTCCAGAGTTAGATATCACTTACAAGTATTTGGATTTAGTGTCTGGATATCACCATATTTGGTTATACTTAAATATATATAAATATTATTTTGAACTCATTGCAATTTGAGCATTTTCCCTGTTCTGCAAGTTAGTTGGTTTTTAGAATTAATCCAACCTACCATAGCCAGGCTCACAATGGAAGCGTTTGTTTTCCAGAAATTCTTATACATAAATGAATTAACAAATCTATTGGACAATTTTACAGAGGAAGAACTTCGGATCTGCTATATTGATGCAAGTATGGCGCACGATGCTCGACAAACTCTTCTGTCCCAAGGGTTTGGCTTTCAATGCAGTTGTCTTCGTTGTTTATCTGGTGATTAACTTTTTTCAATTCGGGGAAATTTCAATCAGAATTTCCGAAGAAATCTTTCGTAAGCATGTTGGGAGTTGTTATTTTGTTTTCAGTGGCCATGTGTTTCAGGCCAGTTTCAACGTATTGAGACCAAATTTTTCTTGAACGACTTTATAGTGTTATCTCTCTACATTGACTTGGTGCATTCAAAATAAAATATGAACTTAAATTGTCAAAATTGGGAAAAACCCATTTTTTTACCAATTTAACCAACTTTGGTAAATTTTTCTAAGTCGTCACTTATCTACTGAATTAGACATGGGATTCTGTAATTTTTGGACTTAGTAAAATGGTTTTTTGCTGGGATTTACCAGGCCTTTTAAAAGCCGAGAAAAATCCTACTCACAGAAAAGAACATGAAGAATGAAAATTGGACAAGCTGGTCTTGGTTGAATAGTTACTTGTATTACCAGGTTGAATGAATTATCTAACCTTTAAACAAAGGCTCAACAACTTTTATCTAACCTAAATTCGAGTTTTGAACTGTGTACCTCTTATTATCGGAACAGTTGATTAAAAAAAATTAAGTTAACAATCAATTCGACCTTTTAAACTATATATGTATTGAATATGAATGCACAAGTATTTATTCGACGTTAGCTCGACCAATCTCTCCCATTGCTAATCATCCACCTAATTCTTCACCTTTACTTCCACACTCTTTTTCTCTGCACCAGATTGAAATGAGAAGTTAAAGGATAAAAAATATAAGTATGCACAAGAGATTGATGATCAAAGAAACTAGAACAAGGAATTAAAGATCATTCCCGCCATATTAGTCGTCGATGACAAAGGATAACTTCAAGCACGAAGAGGGTGTCGAGAAGATAATCCTAACTAACTATAATAATATTCCCTTTAAAAATTCAAAATTTTAAAAAAATTAATTAATTACACACCTAATTCTCATCTCCTTTTGTCATTAAAATCACCCCTTAACTTTTTTCTTCTTCTTAAAATTACATACATATTCTCTCTGTGTATATTTTTCCTTCACATACACCTTATACGTATATCTTTATAAGTTGTTTACTAGTACCAAGTTCTTTCATTTTTATTTTGTAGAAAAAAAATAAACAGGTATATATTAGCTAAGTTGTAAGCCTCCTATTTCTTTAGCTACAAGTTATCTACTCCAATCCTCTCTCTTGTTGCCCTTTCTCTTTTCTCCTTTCTTCATGATCATATAACTTTTTCTATTTTTTTTTTGGCAGTGATGGGGACCTTGTTCCTTAATTCTTCTTCTTCCTCTGTCAATGGTTCTTCGAGTACTAAACTTATCGCAGGAATTGCGAAGAATTACAAGAGCCCGAGCAAGTTGCTGAGAAAGAAGTTCGTTCGTTGCCAAGAAAGTAGCAATAGTAGCAGTAATAATAATAACAATAATAAAGATATTCAATCGAGAAAAAATAGTAGCTGGGTTTCGTCCTTGTCAAAAGGGAGATCAACATTGATTAGTACAGAAAATAGTGCAGCTGTGATGGAGGCAGAGATTGCTGTGAAGGACTTGGTGCCTTACAATGGTGGAGTAGGTACTACTACTATTACTGCCCCTTTGATTGAGCTGCAAGAGGGTATTGGCATTGTCAAATTTCTTAGGGGGAAAAGGCTTTTTATTACAGGAGCAACTGGGTTTCTGGCTAAAGGTAACTTAGTATACAAGTTATCGAGATTTATATTTCTGTTTATGCTGAAGTTCTGCAAAAGGTCATGTACAATGTTAAATTTTCTACTAGGTCATCCTAGAATTTTTCTTTGTGGATGATCTGGGTGGGTGTCAGCTTCGTTTTAGTTATGAGGGTAAATCAAAGTTTTGAAGATAATTAATTTCTTCCTCGTGATTTTATACTATATTCATTATGAAATTCATTAAACATATGTTTCAAAAATATTTTGAAAACATACATACAAATTTAGGAAATGAAAATTTCCAATCTATGAACTCATTAGTTCTCTGTTGATTTTAGTTTTGGCTATAGCATATATAGAAATGTAACCAAGTTTCCTCTATACATTTTTACAATTGTGTGCATATTTTTGGTAAATATCTATAGATCTGATATATATCTTTCTGTTTCCTAACTAAAAAAATCCAGTTCTTATTGAGAAGATACTACGAACGGTGCCTGATGTCGGGAAGATTTTTGTCTTGATCAAGGCGAAAAACAAAGAAGTCGCAATGGAAAGATTAAAGACTGAAGTATGTTATTTTTCATATTACTGTTACATTTGAGTTGCATTTGGTTTTGTTGATTGAAAAATTCGATCTATGGTCATATTGCTTGTTTTATTTTTAGATCATAAACGTGGAGCTTTTCAAGAATCTTCAACAGACTTACGGAAAATCGTATCAGACATTCATGTTGAGCAAACTAGTACCTGTCGTGGGAAATGTCTGCGAATCAGATCTTGGTCTGGAAGAAGATTTGGCTGATGTTATTACCAAGGAAGTTGATATAATTGTAAATTCTGCTGCTAATACAACTTTTGATGAAAGGTAATAAACCAAATTTTCTGCATGGACACTTGATGATTAAATCTTGTTGTGATACACATGAGTGTTTAATTTTGAGATGATTGCAGATATGATATTGCTATTGATATAAACACAAGAGGGCCTTTTCACCTTATGGGTTTTGCCAAAAAGTGCAAGAAGCTTAGACTCTTTGTGCAAGTGTCAACAGGCAAGTATTGACAATTTACTCGTCCTATCTTGTGATACTTTTATTTCACATCGAAAATATATGTGATTGTTGGATTTCATATACATATAACTTGAAATTAAGTTTTTGACGGTCAAAAGTTTAGGTTTGAAAGGTTAAATACAAATACTTGAGAGTTACATGTAAATAAGAAAGTCTTTATTCTCTCTTGAATTAGTTATAGATAATTTGCTTGGTGTATGTATATCTGCAGCATATGTTAATGGGCAAAGACAAGGAAGAATTATGGAAAAGCCATTCAGCATTGGAGATTGCATAGCAAGGGAAACATTCATGTCCAAAACCACACCAAGATTTATACCTACTTTGGATGTTGAGAACGAAATTCATTTGGCTTTGAGTTCCAAGAAAAACTTTGAAGAGAATGAAGTAGCACAAAAGATGAAGGAACTAGGTTTAGAAAGGTGATCCCTCCCTTTTTGTTTCGTTTTTTCTCACACGAATTTAATCCCACATCAATCCAGTACAAAATTTTATTATCTTGAACGAAATTTTTAACATCGTATCACAGCTATTTCTTAGAAGATTATATATATATATATATATACATATATGTATTAGTTTTTGTGATCCAAAATGAAAGTTCTGATCTACTAACACAAATGAGTAATTTCTGAATTGGAATATAAAAGAAATTGTGCCGATCATGATTAAGTAAAAACCTTGCAGGGCAAGAAAATATGGATGGCAAGACACTTATGTGTTCACGAAGGCTATGGGAGAAATGGTAATTGACAACACAAGAGGTGAAATACCAGTAGTGATAATCAGACCCAGTGTTATAGAAAGCACTTTTAAAGAGCCTTTCCCCGGATGGATGGAAGGAAACAGGTATATACATATATGTATGTGTGTGTATATGTGTAGATATTACTTATCTTTTACATCAGCTTACATCTTCTTAAGTTTTTCTGTTTAAATTTAACTTCTTACTAACAGGATGATGGATCCAATAGTTTTGTACTATGGAAAAGGGCAGCTCACAGGATTTCTTGTTGATCCAAAAGGAGTGCTCGATGTGGTATGTAGTGTTCGAGTAAACTATAATTTCATCCCTTGTGATTCTGTGATCTCGTATTATGAAAATTTGAACTTCAATAACGCCAAACAATACAAAGTGAACCCATATCTTTATTTTTACTTATTATTATCATGTTTAGTAAGTAATACTAAAAGGTAAAAATCATTTGTTGCACAAGTTTTCGAAACCAAATCTTTATCCAAGCATGACTTCAACCATGTTCATTTTGACTATTGTGCTTTAGTTTCGGTTTTGGAATAGATTTTGATTGTAAAAATTGTATAAATCCCGGTCTCTGACTAAAATATAAACAAAACATTTGGGTAATTTCAATTTCATAACCTTCAATGATCATGACATTTTGTTTTGGCACCTCAAGATTTATATTACTCCAGGGACATCCCTTCTTAGTCCTTCCATGATTAATTGCAGGTCCCAGCTGACATGGTCGTTAATGCAACATTGGCAGCGATAGCGAGACATGGAGTGGCATCGAAACCGGACATAAACGTCTACCAAATCGCTTCCTCAGTCGTAAATCCACTCGTTTTCGAAGACTTAGCGAGTTTACTTTATGAGCATTACAGTTTATGCCCATGTGTTGACTCAAAGGGCCGACCAATACATGTTCCTTCAATGAAGCTGTTTAGTTCCATGGAGGATTTCTCAGCTCATCTATGGAGAGATGCTTTCCAGAGAAGTGGGTTAACAGCCATGGCCTCATCAGATGGGAAGCTGTCACAGAAACTTGAAAAT